TAATGTAACTCAAGGTTTTGAGATGAAGCTGAGTGAACAGAGGCCTAAAGAACACAGACTGGGCCTGCAGACTGGGCCTGTGCCACGTGGCCTCCTTTATGGGTGGATGCTTAATTGTTTTGTCCAATCCAGCAATGCTGGGCTACACAGTCTCCTTCATTCAACTCTTCAGCCTGTAGCTTAGCAAGAAGGGAGAACTTCATGGTGCAGGGAGCAAGGAGTAAGGCCATGCCCACCCCCTCCCCCCCGTTGCTGTCATTCCTAGTGAGGCCTTGACTCTGCAAGGTGTTTGCCAGAACGAGTTGGTGAGAAAGTCGCCTGCTGCTCTGGGGCCCTTGCCCCAAGACTGCCAGATTCCCCCTGCCTTTAGATGAAGGTCTTCCTAATCCCTCTCCCTGCAGCCAGTCAGTCAGTAAAGATGTCACCGTTCCAGCATCTTTCTTCCCAAGAGCTCAGGATGCCTTGAAAGTAACATTTTATGAATTCTCCATGTCTCTAAGAAATGAAAGGCGATCGCTTGCATATTGCATCTGGGGATACGCTGGAGTGGAAGGGTTGCGGAAAGAACTAGAAACAGGATTCCGATTTCCCTTACTTTCATACAAAGATACAGACTGTGCCAAGGAGGCTGTGATTCAGGCACTGAAAGGGAAAGGATGTAACACACGCAGCCTCATAGGGGATGAAGAGATGCACAGCCACCACCTCCCGGCTGCCTCTTGAGGTCATTTGGTCCAGCGGTAGTGACCACACATCTCTCAGAGAGAGGCCGAGTTCCAAGCACTAGGGATACAGGGCTGTTGTGCGCCCTGCCGTTTCAGTAGTGACAGACCCGCAAGAGTCTTCTGTCTTATTCTTAGGCCTACCGGTGGTTCTGTGTAAAAACTGCACATGTAGGTCTTACAGAGGTTTCCACCTCTCTCCCTCTGGCTCCAGAGATCTAGAACTCTGACACTTTCCTGGACAGAGAGGCGCACTGGCCCAGTAAGCCCCTACCACAGTGCTTTTCAACCATGTTCCTCAAAGCTCTAGGCTCTCATGGGACCTCAGGGGCCTCTGTGTGTGTGTGTGTTTGCGTGCGTGCGTGCGTGTGTGTGTGGGTAGGTAGGGCAGAGCTGACTGTAAGGCCCCGATTCAACCAGAGGATTCTGCATTTAATCCCAGCCAGTTTGGGGGGCTTCTGCATTTAAAAAAATCAATTGATAAAAAGGATTTCGCTGTTTTAAAAAAAATGAAAGTTACAGGCTCACAGAATAAAACTCAGACTCCTCAGCATAGCTTTTACAGACATCAACTGCTCTGGGCTCATAGCCCATAATTTGCCATCCTGAACTTTGGCTGTGGTCACTGTGAACTACCGGTACATAAACTCCTTGAATTTTGTGCTTCTGCTGTTCCCATTGCCTGGAATACACCTCCACCCTGACCCTCTCTCTCATCTATGGACACCTCCATTTCCTCACACCCAGCACACTCACTTTTCAAGATCCAGCTCCAGTGTAAGACTCTGCCTGTGATTTTGCCGCCAGGAGTTTGCACGTACCTCTGGTAAAGCACCTCACACACTGGGCTGTATCTGTTTGAGGTCTGCCCCACTCTCCCAGCCCCCTCTCCATGCTGGACTAATTGACTAGAGACTGGTTCCTGTATCCTGATGCCCTAGCACAGCGCCTGCAGAGTTGTCCTCAGTGAATGTTTGTTGTCTTGAGACTGAACTTAATGAGGCCAGAATTTAGAAACCAGAAGTTATTCAACATAATTTATGTTGTAAAGTGCCCAAACAAAGATGTATTAAATGAATCAGCTTGATGCTGTTATTTTTTTTATGAATTCTAGTATCTTCATCAAATTAATTCATTGACTTAATCTAAAAAGTTCATCTTCAGGATCATCATCAGACCACAGAATTAATCTGTGAGGCTTCTTCTTTTTTAAAGGATTAATGGTAACCCTTTTATCTTTTGTGTCTGTTGAACCTTAGAAAAAAGTTATTTTAACAGCACTAAAGAAATGAAAGTCACTATATTTCATAAGTTTAGCCTGTGATTTTTATCAGCATAGTGATGTATGTTTGTAGCTGTGTTTACATCAAAAATTATTCTTGGGGCCTTCTTGAATGAATTATGGCAAAGAGAGAGAGTCTAGAAGTAGATAAGGTTTTTGATTTCTGCAATATATTTCCTTTTTCATGTTTTTATCTCTCATAACACAAGTGTCTTGCCAGAGACTGGAACGTGTGACCAACTGGAATAATTTAGTTGTGAAAACAGAGCAGACGTGTTATTAAACAGCCTTCTTTACAAAAAGGCTTTAAGTGTTGGGAGGATAATGAAGTTGTCCCCAGTCTTACTTGAGATGTGTTTGTCAGAATTTTGAACAGAAAAGAAGTGGTTTTTAAAACCTTCGAATATGGCCAGTTTGCAGTGTTTATTGAGAAAACCGCTGTCAAACCATTAATTTGGTCGTCATAAGGAACACAACTCAAGTTTAATTGATGCCATATCCAAAAAGCATGTGAATAGCTGACTTGGCAAAGGGACTGAGCATTAGAGCGCCTGCGGTGAAACACATAATTACATATATTGTGGAATCAGAAAGACCCAGACTCTGAAGCTGTACTCCATAAATAGCAATTCTGTGGCTCTCTTTCCTTCCCCTAACTTCTCCCTCTTAGGCTGTGTTCTCATAGGGAAGATTTATTGCTCTGTCCCTGTGAGTGTTTAAGGACCTGGAACTTAATGACTAAATAGATACATGCCTTTTTAAAAAATGTACATATAAATATGGACTCTTACAAAAGTTAGTTGAGAAAAATCAGTGTATCAAAAGCTCTGAGAAATTAAGAATCAATTCTGCCTTTCTAGATTAAAAAAAAAGCTTTCTGCTGCCATTATTATTCAAATCAGTGATTTCTAAGTCTGGTTTTGCCACTCCTTAGGAGAGCTTTTACTGTTTTGAAGGATGTCACAAACCTCTAAAAGATGAATTAATTCTGATTCATTTTAACTGAACAAAGATGTATACGGCACACACAGGAGAGGAGAATGTTTCCATATCAGAAACTACCATGGTTAAATTGTCTCAGAATTAATTCTCCATCCTTACACAGGTCTAGATGTAGGCTTTAAATGCAGTGGGTGATCTTTTTTCAAATTCCAACACTGAAACAAAAGCAAGGGACCTTTCTGTGAAATTAGCACCCATCAGGGACTCTAGAGCTGTATTTAAATAAAGTACCAGACTCAACCATTCCAGGTCTGGCTTTATCATAAGAAGGTTGTGCAGGTTTAGAGTCTTTAAAGGAAGCAGCCTATCATTAAGAAATCAGATTTAAACCTTAATAAAGTAGCTGTCGTCTTTATAGCTGAAAAGGACTCTGTATCTCAATTAAGTATAGATAATATAAAATCATAAGGAAGCAACATAACAGAGGTAACCTGATTACATTCTCTTGCAATAGAATAATTTAAAGGAAATCCGATTCTGTTGATGCTGGTTATGTTGGTGGAGGTTGTTTGGTTTTTTTTGTCCAAAACACGGTTTGGCTACAGGGCAGGAACTCTCTGGGACTGTGAGTTAACTGCAACTGCAGGAGACTGTTAAGCCTCCCGAACAGAACCTGCTGGATATTTGAGACGAGATTCAGTTAAGGCTGTGAGTTAAATTAGCTGGGCTCATTGGTGACCTCCCACTTAAATGAATCTTTCTTTTCATACGTACTTGACAAGATCTGTAAAGTAGTGTATTTAATTTGCTAATTAAATTAAAGCTACTGAATAATGATTTGTCCTCATTGATTTAGCTTAAATAGAAAAGATCAGCATTGTTGTGATCTTCAGCAACCTTAATGGCCAAGCCCGTTAGACACAAAGGCCTCTTGTGTTTTGTAGGTCAGAAGTACATAGGTGAGCCCAGGCTGTAATTGAATTGCCTGCACTGCACCCTGCAGTTGCAGATTTCCTTTGCCTTCCCGTTCCATTGTTGCACTGGGGCTTAAGAGAATGTTAACGCGGTAATAGGCACAGGGCCTTCCCCATTATACGTCTTGCTATCGAGCGGTTCTGCATGACTAGTTAAAGAAGATGGCAAGAAGATTAATGAAAGCAAGGCTAATACAG